ATTTTGGTAAAATTGGTATGTGTAGACTCGTGGCGAGACGAGGAATCCAGTGATGTAAATTTCGTAATTTTTCGAGAAGTGGGCCCGGGGCTCGGGTTTTTCCAACTTCGTGAATTTTGGTGTTTTTCGAGTCTTTTCGATTGGGTTATGTCTCTTTAGCCTATTCTAATGTATTCGTTGTGGTTTTAATCAGATTCGGCGTGCGAAGAGGTTGATTCGAAAGGCAAGGGCATAGCGAGCTAGACTTGTGGTCGGCTTGAGGTGAGTAATAGATGTAGATGATGACCTGAGGGGTTGAAACCCCGGTATATCACACTGTGACGCTATATTGAGTCGAGACACATACTCTATGATGAGTGCGGGGTCGATTGTGACTGGGGATTTTGACCTAGTCCGTTCCGATTGATGTTCGTACTGTGTTCTTGACTAGAAATTGTTTGGTAATCATCCTACTTGGATTTTATGAATATGTTTGGGGCTTTGTGCCTATCATTTGCATCCTTCAGGGATCCTTATTACTGCTTCCATGATGTTTAGCATATTTCATGATATCAGTCCTGAGTTAGACACTGCCTCGAAATATTTAGTAAATAAATAAAGGTTTAAACACTTAGCTCTATAATTCCTAATAATTGAAACTAAAAATGAACAATTTGACTGTGCCCGAGTGGCTTGCATGCATATATATATCTGGACTGAGTGTNCACAGCTCGCGGTATTTCCATTCATCCGGGTGCCGCAAAGATGTATCAGGATTTTGAGGCAGCACTACTGGTGGAGGAGAATGAAGAAAGATATAGTGAGTCATGTAGCTCGGTGTCTCAACTGTCAGCAGGTCAAATATGAGCATCAGAGACCCGGTGGTGTACTTCAACGGATAGATATTCCCGAGTGGAAGTGGGAGAGGATTACTATGGATTTTGTGAGTGGTCTCCCTCGTACCTCGAAGAAGTTTGATTCGATTTGGGTGATTGTGGATCGGCTGACCAAGTCCGCGCACTTCATTTCGGTGTGTACTACCTATTCTTCGGAGCGGTTGGCAGAGATTTTCATCCGGGAGATTGTTAGGTTGCATGGGGTCCCAGTTTCTATCATCTCAGATAGGGGTACTCAGTTTACTTCCCAGTTTTGGAGGACTTTTCAGCGAGAGTTGGGTACGCAGGTAGAGTTGAGCACCGCATTTCATCCTCAGACGGACGGACAGTCGGAGCGTACCATTCAGATATTGGAGGACATGTTGCGTGCCTGTGTTATTGATTTTGGAGGTTCTTGGCTGAGTTTTTGCCACTTGCAGAGTTCGCGTACAACAACAGCTATCAGTCCAGCATTCAGATGGCACCGTATGAGGCCTTATATGGGAGACGGTGTAGGTCTCCGGTTGGTTGGTTTGAGCCCGACGAGGCTAGACTATTGGGGACAGAGTTGGTTCAGGATGCCTTAGAGAAGGTGAAAGTGATCCAGGAGAGACTTCGTACAGCTCAATCGTGTCAGAAGAGTTATGCGGACCGCAAGGTTCGAGACGTATCCTACATGGTGGGCGAGAAGGTCTTGTTGAAGGTTTCGCCTATGAAGGGCGTTATGAGATTTGGAAAGAAAGGAAAGTTGAGTCCACGGTTCATTGGTCCTTTTGAGATACTTAGGAGAGTTGGGGAGGTGGCCTACATGCTTGCTTTGCCACCCAACTTGTCGGGAGTTCACCCAGTGTTTCACGTTTCTATGCTCCGGAAGTATGTTGGGGACCCGTCCCATGTGTTAGACTTCAGCACGGTTCAGTTGGATGATGACTTGACTTACGATGTGGAGCCAGTGGCTATTTTGGGTCGTCAGGTTCGGAAATTGAGATCAAAGGATATAGCTTCGGTAAAGGTGCAGTGGAGAGGTCGGCCCATTGAGGAAGCTACTTGGGAGACTGAGCAGGAGATGCGGAGCAGATATCTTCACCTATTTGAGACCTCAGGTATGCTTCTCGACCCGCTCGAGGACGAGCGTTTGTTTAAGTTGGGGAGGATGTGACGACCCAACCCGTCGTCTCATGTATTACAGCCCCATTTCCTCCATTTATTGCTCTTTCATGTTTTATTATTAGCAACGGGTGAGTTAGAGTTTAATTGAATTGGTTTGGATAGGAAATGAGACACTTAGTCTCTTTAAGGAAGGTTTGGTTTGGAAAAGTCAACCGAACGTTGACTTATTAGTTAGAAGGCTCGGATGTGAATTCCGGTGATTCGGTTAGCTTCGAGAGGTGATTTGTGACTTAGGAGTGCGACCGGAAGTGATTTCGGAGGTCCGGAGTAGAATTAGGCTTGAATTGGCAAAGTTGGCATTTTGGCGAATTCCGGTGGATAGGTGAGATTTTGATCCGAGGGTCGGAATGGAATTCCGAGGGTTGCAGTAGCTCCGTTAGGTGATTTTGGATATGTGTGCAAAATTTCAGGTCATTCGGAGGTGTTTTGGTCGGTTTTTTGAACGAATGCGTAATTCGGAAGTTTTTAAGAAACTTAGGCTTGAATTCGATGTGATTTGATGGTTTTAGCGTTGTTTAATGTGTTTTAAAGATTGGAACAAGTTTGAATAAGGTATTAGGATGTGTTGGTGTTTTTGGTTGAGGTCCCGGGGGCCTCGGGGTGAATTCGGGTGGTTAAACGAGCGTTTTGAGGTGTGTTGCAGGTTCAATTTTTCTGTCATCTGGTATTTCCGCTTCTGCGGAAATGGACCGCAGAAGCGGTTCCGCAGAAGCGGTTCCGCAGAAGCGGTTCGTAGCCTGGTGGAGTGTTTCCGCAAAAGCGGAATATTTTTCGCAAATGCGAGTCCGCAGAAGCGGACTATAAACCGCAGAAGCGGTCCCGCATAAGCGGAAGCGGGACCGCATAAGCGAAAATCGGTGTTGGCAGAAGGGTTTAAAATATTAAATTTCATCCGCAAACAAGAGGTAGTTTCCACCATTTTTAAGCGACTTGGAGAGCTTTGGGCGAGGATTTTCGAGGGTTTGACTGAGAATCAATTGGAGGTAAGTCTCTTGTCCTAATTATTCGAGTTTATGGTAGAAATTACATGTAAATTGTGGAAAATTTATCAAAAACGGGTCAAGTTAGGGCTTGGAAAGCTGTGATGTAAAAATGGATTTTGAAAGGGCATTTTGAACTCCGATTTTGGTAAAATTGGTATGTGTAGACTCGTGGCGAGACGAAGAATCCAGTGATGTAAATTTCGTAATTTTTCGAGAAGTGGGCCCGGGGCTCGGGTTTTGCCAACTTCGTGAATTTTGGTATTTTTTGAGTCTTTTCGATTGGGTTATGTTTCTTTAGCATATTGTAATGTATTCGTTGTGGTTTTAATCAGATTCGGCGTGCGAAGAGGTTGATTCGAAAGGCAAAGGCATAGCGAGCTAGACTTGTGGCCGGCTTGAGGTGAGTAATAGATGTAGATGATGACCTGAGGGTTTGAAACCCTGGTATATCACACTGTGACGCTATATTGTGACGAGACACGTACTCTATGACGAGTGCGGGGTCGATAGTGACTGGGGATTTTGACCTAGTCTGTTCCGATTGATGTTCGTACTGTGTTCTTGACTAGAAATTATTTGGTAATTATCCTACTTGGATTTTATGAATGTGTTTGTCGCTTTGTGCCTATCATTTGCATCCTTCAGGGATCCTTATCACTGCTTTCATGATGCTTAGCATATTTCATGATATCAGTCCTGAGTTAGACACTGCCTCGAAATGGTTAGTAAATAAATAAAGGTTTAAACACTTAGCTCTAAAATTCCTAATAATTGACAATAAAATGAATAATTTGACTGTGCCCGATTGGCTTGCATGCATATATATACCTGGATTGAGTGTGGATCGGGCTGCACGCCGCAGAATGTTACGATGATATTGCGCTTGGGCTGTAGGAGCCCCTCCGGAGTCTGAACCCCCACAGTGAGCGCGGGTACCCAAATGGATCGGGCTGTGCGCCGCAGCGGTCATGTGCATTGCATTGCATCCATGCATTTATACCTAATTGTCTTATTTGTCCTGATATTGTTGTTGTTTCGTCGTTTTATGTGCTGAATCGCTGATTATAGCTTTATATTGTAATATTTCGAAATTTCTTACTTTCAGCCATTATATATGTTTATTACTCACTGAGTTGGAAGTACTCACTTTACTCCCTGCACCATGTGTGCAGATTCAGGTGCTCCGGAGACTTAGTGGAGCTGTTTGCTGTCTTCTTGGATTTCGGTTTAGGAGTTGTTGAGGTAGCTGCCTGACGTCCGCAGGACCCGACTTCTCCCCTTTATTGCATTTGTCTTTCCCTATCCTAGACTTTCTTTATTACTATGAATATATTACTCTGTTACATTTAGAGGTTCTAGACTCGTGACTCCAGATCTATTGGGGAAATGTTTGGTATATTCGTTATTATTTTTCGTACTATTTTATCTAGTTCCGGATTGGAAACTTGATATTTACTATTTTAATCGTATTATTTGTTAACGGATTGCGAAGTTGGGTTGAGAGTATTTAATTGGTCGGGCTTGCCTAGCATTAGTGTTGGGCGCCATCACGACCGGGATTGGGGTCGTGACATTTTTTTTTGCTTTTTTTCAAAAATTTTCATTTTTTTTTCGAAATCAGTGTTTGGCCATAAATTTCCACTATTCACTTGAAGATGAATTTTGAAATTTTTCGAAAATTTGAAAAACTCCAAAAAACTATTTTTAAAAATTTTCACTCATATCACTCACGAAACTTCAAAAACAACTCAAAATTATATTCATATCCAAACACAACTCTAATTTTCAAAAAAAAAATTTCAATTAATTTTTTTTTTGAAATTTTACAATTCTTATGTCCAAACGCCCACTTAATTTAAAAACTACAAGAAGTAAAATATGCCATGTGTCATGTCTCCTACTAGACTAGAAAACTAGTGGCTGAAACTGAAATAAAAAAGCGGGGATCTTTTCGTGATTTTGACTGAGTGAATATAATAAAGACAACAAACCAAATATCCATAGATGCTTCTAGAAAATTGATACCAAATTGTCTACTCCACAAATATCCACTCCTCCACCAATTCAACCAAAATACCCAAATCTTCTTTCTCTTGTTCTTCAACAATCCATATTCAATTTTTTCCTATTCATTAATTCAACTTTATTTAGCTGCTGTACATGATTTATGGGAGTCGAGGTGATCAGTCGAGGTGAGTACAAGCTGACTCGAACTGTAAATTTCTAAAGAAAGTGTGAATAATCAAACTACACATAGACTGTGTGTAGTGTGTGTTATATGTGTAGTGTGTGTGTGTTCCTGAAGCTGCAATGTCACCAAAAACCCTAGATTCACGTCAAGCTATTGAATCCTGTACGTATCATCTCCATTCATGGAAGCCCTTTCAGCTCCCAAACCCTAATCCCAAAACCCTAGATTCCTCTGATTCACCAAAACCTTACTCTGCACTACAGACTAAGCGCCAATGTAGAGCGGATCGAGCTACTTCGATCCCGATTGAAACCCTAGACATGTCGAAATTGAGCTTATTTGATGATGATCGCCCTTTATCGGCTAACAAACGGGAGAAAAATAAGAATAATCTCCGTTTGATAGCCGGTAAAAGGAGGCGGCGTGGGTCCCGTTCTGTTTCAGGAAGGAGCAGTGATCGGAGCGGGACAAACCGCCCACGCCGTTGTTGCTCCGTGGGAGCATCAGCGGCTTATGGGACTTGTTCTGATTTTCCTGTAGCTGTTGGGACTGATTCTAGTGGAGAGTTGTTTGTAAATGGGGATATGAATTGGACATTGGATGTTAGTGAGGTTACTAGGAATTTGAAGAGAGAGAAAGAAAGTGGTGGGGTTAGTGAGAGAGAGAATAATTTTAATGGTTTATTAGGGGGGCAAATTGGGAATTTTGAGGGTTTGGGGAATGAATCAGGGTATGGGAGTGAACCGGGTTATAGAGGCGATGCGGAGTTTGGATATGGTGATGAGTTTGATGAAGAAGAAGATGATCAACAGAGGTTCTCATTATGGGGCGACGAATTTGGAGGTATATGTATACTATGCAATCTGCATTCCATTGTCTTGAATTATGCATTAAGACTTAATGTTGGGGTCACCTATATGAATCCTCTATATAGATTTTGCACCATTTCGGATCCGTTTCATTTCAATACTAAATAATTTGTCTTTTAAAATAAGCATTAAAGCAGTCAATGTGCAAGCCAAAAAAGAAAAAAAGAAGATAAAAAGAAAGCAAACTAACTCCATCTACTGGGGAGACGAATCTGGAGGTATTCCCTGAACGTTGATCCATATCTATTTAGCTTCATTTAGGCCTGTCGCATTGAATGTTGAATTGCACATAGATTTCCTTATATTTGCCTTCTGAGACAAACATTTAAATGGTCAATTTGGGAAAAGAAAATGAGAAAGAAAAAAGAGGTTGAAGTGCTCAATGTGATTTAATCTAGTCAATGTTAAGCCAATGCAAGTTAATTTTTCATTGAAATGTCAATCTTTGGATAAAATGGATGTTTTCGTGATGGTGGAATCGTCTAACTGTCTATCAAGATGGAGTTTATATAGAATGATGTAGTTTAAAGAGTTATTGTTTGAAATATTCTGTTGGACAAGTCAGTTTCATCCTGCCCCAAATGTTAGTCTGGCCTTGTAGCCTCAGAAAAAGAAGAAGCAAATAGCTCCTATTTTTAGGGAGCAATGCGGCTTGAACTCCTATAAGAACATATTATAGGAGTTTACACAACAACAACATACCCAGTATTATCCCACACCGTATATATTATAGGAGTTTGTTTTTTGTAATTCATTACCATTCTGTACATGTGCAGTACATATAGTTTTTTTTTGTCGAAGATTTATATATTATGATTCTACTCACCAGCAGAAGCTATTCCCTGCCTATAGAACACTTCTACAGTACTGCAAGTTGGAATGAAAGAAGTAGTCCGGCAAACTTATGTCAGAACTATTGATGTTAATTCATTCACATTATCATTCATCTCGGGGCTGGTATATTATTTTATCAGTGACTCAGTATTTGAAAGAACATTGAGTGAGGAAAGGATGTGAAAGTCAGTAAACATAAATTTGAGGGGAAATTTGGATATGTAAAGGATGGCTTCTAATGGCTGATAGAAACATGATAGATGAAACTACGACTTACAGATACACATGGCACTTAATCCAAAGATTGGGATGGAGGATTAAACTTGGTGTTAGGAGTTGAGATTGAAGTAGGGATGGCAGTGGGGCGGGGCGGGGCGGGGCGAGTTTGGTAAAACCCACAAAAATTTCAACCCGCCCTGCCCTTCATACGTATTTTTTCAGTTTTCAACTCACTCCGCCCCTCCCTGCTTGGCTCCGCCCCGCCCCACTTAAGTTTTTTTCCCCCTTTTTCTTTTATTTTTTTCTAAAACAAACTAGTTTGACATTTTATTATTTTATAAAATGGAGAGTTTAATATTATTCAAGCAATTATGTTTTCCTCTTTGTCGTGAAATTACATGCTTATACCAATTAATCTCATTAGTAGTAACATAGTTTTCCAAATAGTAACAATTATCCTTTTATATATAAAAAGATTATTTTAAAAAAAAAATAATTACCGTGGTTTGCGGTAATTATTACCCACGTTTTATGTTTATATTAATGAAAAAAACTACCCACGTTTTATGTTTACATTCTTTCATATGCCATTTTAATCCCTTAAAAGGTTAATGGCAGTTATGCCAACACGTTCATGCTGAGCTGCTAAAAAATTTGACGGGTATTTCAGATGCCATTTTTATCCCGTAAAGGTTAGAGCTATTGTGCTAACGTGCACATGAGATACCAACTTTCATGGTGAATCTATAATATTGTACTTGAAGTGATTGCTTTGTTTCACAAAAGTTAAAATTCAAAATTGCCCCTCATTGAACCCGCAACCCGCACTGCTTTAAATTTTTAAAAACTGTTTTAACCCGCCCCGCAACCGCATAAGAGTAAACCCGCCCCGCCCCGCCCCGCATCAAACAAAACCCGCCCGCCCCCGCCCCCGCCCCGCCCCATTGCCATCCCTAGATGGAAGTATGTCGTGGAATTGGCTCAAGTTTCACTTAATTATCTGGTTAAGTAAAGTATGTGCAAACTATAGAGATTTTGCTTGTGTATGTCTTAAAGCCCAATGTTGCTTTACTTCCAACGTTGGTTTTCATCTACCTGTATCATGGGCCAAGCTACATGTTATAAAGGGTGGTCAACTGACCACCCTTCGTCGGAAAATTACACTGCGTATATAGGTAAAATATTAGATTTTAGAGGTATATAACGTATATTGAACACTCTTTCTCGGAGAATATTTTTCACTTCTTTCAAGTTTGAACACCCTTACGTAAATTCCTAGCTTCGCCCCTGACCTGTATGTGACTTCCAACTTACCTGTAAATGTTATAGTCTTTCACTTGCTTCCTATTAACAAATTTGTTCCAAATCATGTGTTTAAACTATCCTATATATTCACTTTCCATGTGACATAATTACCCACATGCTCTGTTCTACTGGTGGCTCTTACTTATATATACTCATTAACCTTGACTCTTGAGTAGGGGTGGAAAGGGGAAAAAATGATAGTGAAGCATAAGGAGGTACTGTGTCGTTCATTGCGAAAGGAAGTAAAGTTGACGCCTTTCAATTCCTTTGACTTCTCAAAGATTATAGGTGGAGTTATATCGCACAAAATCTAATTGGTGAGGGGTGGTCCTTCACCGAGTTCTGGGGCTTAATCCTGTCCTCGTGATTACTAAATCTAACATAATCAGCATCTGGCTCTCTCTCTCTCTCTCTCTCTCTCTCTCTCTCTCTCTGTCTCTCTCTCTTTTCTTTTCCTTTTGTACTCCCCCCTTTGGCTGGCCTTTGAACCAAATTCTCTCAGTTTCTTCTGGTAGATAGGAACCAGATATAGCGTCGTGTGATCTCCTTTTCCTTTTATATTATTGATGTAAAATTATCTTACTGGTTCTAGGTAATGATTTGTCTGTATTTCTTGGCATAAACGCTGGTGATCATGGTGTACTCCCTCTTGTTACCTACTTGGTACTATTTCCATTAATAAAATTACCTTACTTATTAAAAAGTAAAAGTTTAATGCTGGTAATCATGGTGAACGAAAATTGAAACAGTGGTGCAAGGTTACTTGCAGGGGTGTTTCGGGGGGGGGGGGGAGTGGGGTTGTAGCTTGTGAAGGCACAGTGTTACAATTTTGCTGTATGCTCAAGGATGCCTTTACTAAATGTAGTATGACCACGTAAACCTATAAGCTGGATCTAGTGCCAAGGTTTTCCATTTTTCTATAAGTAGACTCCTTTTGTTGAAATCTCAACAGATGGGATGGCTACTTGGACTAGAATTAGTTAACCACTATTTGCCAGCCTAATTTGTCAGACAAGCTTCTGAAAGGATTCTTAGGCAGTCTTGCTAATGTCATGCTTGTGTATGTAACCATGGCTAATTGAGTATAAGCCAACCTCTTTCTAAAGAAAAAAGAGTATAAGTTCTGCTAACTTGTTCCTTTTCTGTCTTGTACTAACAGCACTCTCTAAGATGGAGAAGGTTGGTGAGAACACATTACAAAAGGTGCACCATAGATGTCGGCGGAGGAAACAAGACTGTAAAATGGTGATCGCCTGAGGTTGCTGATGCTGATGAATAATATTTATAGTTTTGACTGTATTGTTGTAGCTGATTCCAGGATTTGACATTGACATGTATGAACGTATAACGCATGACACCATCTTCTGGCTATATAGATTCTTTGTTGTGTACAAATACAATCAGTAATTTATAGGCCATTAGCATTGTACTGTACCATCACTATGAAAATATATCAATATTGGTTAAAGCATCGCGCACCTTATACGTATTTGGGGTGCAAGAATCATGAATATATTCGAAAAAGTTGCTATTTTTTTCTTGCTTGCCCTTGCTGCTGTTAATTTTAATTGGTAAAAGCTGGTCTAATGTGCAATTGCACTGTTTGTCTGTTCCCCGGATATTTGATCACAATTCTCTGGGACAATCCGCAGGTAAAATTCTTAGAAGATTGGTTTAATCTGCTTTGTAACCTAGAAAAACATAATGTGCTCTTAATTATCACATAATATTAGGTGTTTTAACAGCACCTCGGGATTCGGACTATTGATAAATAAAGTAAATGCAAGTCTTGGAGACCAAAGTTCAAATCCCGCTAATAGCCTGTTTGGCCAAGCTTCTTTTTGGTCAAAAGTGCTTTTTTTTGGCCAAAAACACTTTTGGCAAAAAAATTGAGGTGTTTGGCCAAGCTTTTGGAAGGAAAAAAAGTGCTTTTGAGGAAAAGCAGAAGCAGTTTGGAGAAGCAGAAAAAAGCAGCTTCTCTCCAAAAGCACTTTTCTGAGAAGCACTTTTGAGAAAAATACACTTAGAAGCAGTTTTTTAAAGCTTGGTCAAACACTAATTGCTGCTCAGAAGTGCTTTTCAAACTAATTAGCCAAACACAAACTGCTTCTCACCAAAAGTACTTTTGAGAAAAGCACTTTTGAAAAAAAGCATTTCTCAAAATAAGCTAATTTTTGCAGCTTGGCCAAACGGGCTATAAATCTTCTATGCCAGTTAAATATGCATTTTATCTCATTTAATTTTGCTACACGATAATGGAATGCATGCATTAATAAAAGATGACCTTTATTTTCATCTTTATATTCGGCAACAATTTCCTATTTCCGCCATGGTTATATAGATCAATGCACTCTCAAATGGACCATAGAGTATGAGAAATATGCTAGTTATATATGAAATAAGAACATGCCTATAAGCAATGTAGGATAAAAATGTATATCTAAAGATAAAAATGTACTCCATCCGTCTCATATTAACAGTCGTGGTTATTAAAAATAGTTGTCTCAAATTATTTGTCATTTTAGAGGTTCAAGATAAAATTGATTGATTTTTTCCTTTTTTACCCTTAGTAATAATTGTTCTTGAAGATGGAGATAACACATAAATAGAATACATATTCAATGAAAAGAGATTATATCTTAAAACATAAATAAGGGTAGAATCAGAGGCGGATCTAGTATTTTTATACCATGGGTGCACCACTAAAAAAGGAGAAAAAAGAAAGTATTAAGTGGGATTTGATCCCTAGTCCTCTAGGTAAATAACTCATCATTCAACCAAGTGCACCATTTAGCCTCCTTGGAGCATGGGTGTCGGCAGAGAATACTAGACCAATTCCAAAAAAGATGTACATAAAATACCTAGTTTGTCGGAAAGACCATGGGTTCACGTGCCCCGTCAATTTGCCTATAAATCCGCCCCTGGGTAGAATAGTTCAATCCCTTTCCTAATTAATATTTCTTAAGAAATGTATAAAAGAGAAACACGACACATAATATGAGACGGATAGAGTATTTTTCAACCAAAGTTTGAACCAGAGTTATTCAATTCGACCGAATCAATAACAAAAATGCTACCTCCGCCTTAGTTAACAAACGAAAGTTCCAAGATGAAGCTAATGCACAACTTGCTCGGACTACAAGAAGACAACTAAGGAAACTACCAAGAAATGTCATTAGTTTAAGGTTCACGAGCCTTCAAGAAATTTAAGGTTTTTTTTATCTTCGGAAAGCCTGCCATTCATTCTAAATACGTGAAGAAACGAAGTTGTTATTTAATCAGCGCTTTATAAGGCCATTCTTATAAATTATTCGATTAAATATTAATAAGAATTAGAAGATTAGAATCCATCAAGTTTCTCCGAGGGTCTATTGTAAATAGCCTCTCTATCCTCACAAGGTAAGGGTAAGGTCTGCGTACACACTACCCTCTCCAAATCCCACGGTATGGAATATTACTGGGTATGTTATTATGTTGTTGTTGTAATCCATCAAGGTTCTTGAATCGGCCTCAAATTAGATATCAATAAGGATTTAAGTTATATGTAATTTGACTTAAATTACAAAGTTTCTGCACTATCAATGTAATTTAACCGGTTATAACATATTAATTACTACTATTTATTCTAGGTTATTGTTTATCAAATAGTGCAATTGACATTATTAAGTATTTAAATACTACGAAGTTGCTTTAATCAAATCAGATTTGATTACTTGATGTAGATCTTGTCTATCTCGTGTTTCACCTTACCTACTTATATTATTCGACCTTAGGAAGAAGCTATGCTATATTTGTCACCGTTCATTTCCATGCACGTCTTTTTCTTGTATTTCCAACCACATTTCTATAATTGTGTACACACACCCTTTTCATATTTTTAGTTCAAGACCCCATTTTTATCCCTCTTTTTTTTCCAATAATAAAACGGTTCAACATTTTAGGTTATCATAACTTTCTTTTATATTCTTGTATTTGATGTAAAGACTCGATTTTCATTCATTATGTGGAAGAAGTTAACAGTAATTTTGCAATTATGTGGATAGGATAGAGAATAATTGCAACAATTATTAAACAAAGCTCAAACTTAGAGGACTATATCAAGCATTTTCTCTAATGAGTTTTTTTTTAATCAAAAGGATATTACGCACACTAAATTAAGGTTGTTCTTACATTGGGTTGTTGTGAAGCCAAGCCCATCGTACCAAATAGAGAGTAGTCTAATGCTACATTTACAATATTATAACTTTTAATGTTCCTTTCAAAAATAGTTCCTAGGGTGTCTGCCCATAGTACTTCATTCATTGACAAACACCGATGGAACTACCAAAAAGTTGATTCCTGCTTCTAACTACTTCCCTACCTCCATTGCCAATTTGTCCGCCACCCTATTTGCCTCCCTGAACGTGTGGTTTACTGGTGGATGTCTCATAGCTGCTAGGAGAGACCTGCATTCACAGATCAAGGGATCATATATCAGATGACCATTGTTGATGCATTGTATTTCCTTTGTCGAGTCCACAATGTCCTCTAAAGGTCCTAGATTGTTTGATATTGCCATCTTTGGACCCTGCAAGAAAGTTGTTAGCTAATAATAGAGAGTATTTGTGCACTTAAGTTTCAGAACCTTGTTACCCAATACCTATTGTTCTTTCTAATTACCTCTCCTATTCCTTATGTTTTATCCTTTTGATGGTTAGCACCGTCAGTGTTTAGCTAGTACCACCTCCTCCCAGGGGGGTGCCATTTAACTAAGACGACAGTACTATGAGTGGGCTCCTTTCCTTATATTGCTATGTGCATGAATTCTACAGCCTTGTTAATGGCCACTCTAAAGGAAACAAGTTCCTTCTTATGATTGTAGATGTTGTTATTCTTGGTTAGCCAAATCTGCCAAAGGCAGAAAGGGATTAATTGCCCCTATTTGAGCATGTCATTGAAAGGCTGGTGCTTTACCTTGTTAAGAGTGTGCACTCAGTATGTTTGGTTAGTTACAAGGTTTGGGATACTGAGGTTGGATTGGCTTAGTTCAGCTAGCTTGTCCCAAAATTGGTTAGCATTGTCATATCTGAGGAGTATGTGCTCAATTGTTTCCTCCTCCTTGTTATAGAAGAAGCACATAGGGTTTAGGTTCATACTCCTGGAGTATAGGTATTGGGTCGTAGGGATCCTACAATGGGTTACTAACCATAAAAAGTATTTTAGTTTGTTTGGCAATTTTTGTGCCCAAACCCAGTTAACGTCTTTCCCAAAATTGTGTTCCTGATGATGGTTCAGCTTTTTATGAGGGTATAGGCAGACCTGGTTGAGAAGAGGCCATTTCCAGTTTGGTTCCAAACCATCCTATCCAGATTCCCAGAGTTAGCATTAACAAAGGTGGAGTTAATAGTAGCAACTACCTCATCAGGGAGGTTAAAAAAATATTACTAAGGTCCTAATGACCCTCAGTGTAGCATGAGGCTAGTCAAGCTCTCCTCTCTCCTGTTCAGTGGGCCAATGATTATGTTTCTAAGGGGATCCATGCTAGGGATCCATCTGCCCCAATAAAGATTTATTTTATCCCCCTTGCGAACTACCCACCTAGTAGCCTTACTACAAACAGACCAACCATTTTTGACATTTGGCCAAGTCCTAGAGGCTATATGCCTAGAACGGTTCCTGCTAGTACAGTGCTTGTAGAACAGAACTCTGGTCCACGGGGCATTAGGATTGTTGTATATCCTCCAAGCCAGACCAGCGTGAGTGGTAGTGTTTCTGCTTTCAGAAGTCTGCACTCTCAAGTCACCATCCTCCCTAGGCCTGGTCAATGTTTCCACCCAGCTAGGTGTCTTTCTCTCTTTGCTGCAGTGGTACCCCAAATGAAGTTCCTTTGAATTTTATTAATTAGGTTGCACACCTCGGCTGAGAAATTTATATATTGCATGACATGGCTAGGGATGCATCCAAGTGAGGACTTTGCTAGAGTAGTTCTCCCAGCCATATTCAGGAAGTGGGTTTTCCAGCCAGCAAGCTTAGTCTGCATACTATCAATGATGAACTAGTAGTCTCTATTGGTGGGTCTTTTGTGGAAGATGAGAAAGCCCAGGTACCTACCAAATGTAAGGCTAGGTTTGATGGTCAAAATCCTGGATAGTCTATCTATTTCCTCATGGTGGAAATTTATGGAGAAAACAACTTTGGACTTGATGTTATTTACCTTCTGGCCAGACTTACAGCTAAACTCATGGAGGGTTTCTATTATGCTATTGCAGTTCTTAGTGTTTGCTCTAGCAAAGAGAGTGAGGTCATCTGCAAAGAAAAGGTGGGAGATTTTGGGCCATGATAGGCTGATTTTGATAGGGAACCAACTCCCATTCTGCACATTAGCATCAATGCTTCTGGATAGTCTCTCTATACACATGATGAAGATATAGGGAGACATAAGGGCTCCCTGTCTGATGCCCCTACTAGGCCTAAAGTATTTAGTCCTACTCCCATTGACAAGCACGGAGATTGAACTAGTGGAGATGCAAGACAGGATCAACTTGGTGATGTTGCTAGG